CATTTTGTGGCCACGGACGCTATGCTGAATGCATGCTCTTTTGTGGGGGGCGTTCTTCCTTTATTCTGGCCTGCAATAGACATGCTATTTGTCAGGAATGTATGGTTGGCATGCTTATTGCCAGCCGTCGTGGCAGTTGTTGTTTTGAGAATGCTCAGTTAGGTCTTCCATGCGCTCATCCACCCCATCCTTACAATGTGTTTCCTTTCTGTCGTCAAGGACAGCCTCATTCTTGAGCTTTTCCCTGTGTTTAACACCTTCCCCTTCCCTCTGCCTCTCTCACAGCGTGCAAGTGRGCTGTTATGGCATACGGGGATGGGGGCAGCTCGCGCTCAACTTCATCAACGTGGCGAGCCTTGMACGTGAGAGGCACAGTGGAGGTGGAGTTTAAAGAAGAATGAGAAATTTAATGGTTTCAATCTGCCCTTGTTTTTTCTTTTTCTTTTTCTTTTTGCATGTTATCACTGTGCCCGTTTTTTGCTTTTATTCTTTGTTCCGCAAAGTGCGCTCTTTTAGTTTGTAGTGATGTGACAATATATAGCCACTGGGCACATGCAGTTTGATACACGGTTACTAGTACACAGCCTTCAGGCTTGCATACGAGCACCTGTACACATTGCTGTAAAAGTACCATACTCCTAGGCCTGGGGAGGTCTAGTGATAGGGGCTTCTCTAGGATCGACTGATGATGATGATAGGCGCTCCGATGATAAGTACCCCACCGTAAATCAGTTTGACTGCGTGTGGGCAAGTAGAGGACGTGAGTTACTGGTTGGTCTGAGGGAGGTCTAGTAATAGGGGGTCTGCTCTAGATCAACTAATGATGATGATAGGCGTTTCGATGAAAAGTACCCCACCGTAAATCAGCTAGCCTGTGTGTGGGCGAGTAGAGGGCGTGAGTTACTGGTTGATCTGGTTCAACGGTGGGCTTAGACTCTAGGGGTAAAGCAGGGATATAAGTCATTCCGTCTAATCTGAGTTCCGCCTAGCCTTGGGCAAGCTAGGGGAAGGACGGTAGGATGTGTCCGTGGGCGCCAGCTTGCCTCATCCTGGGGTATGTTTCTGCTTATCAGGCAGACCCTCTCATTAGGACTAAGAGGCTTGTGGGAGATTGCTAGAGCCTGGCGTCCAAAGTTCCCGTTCGACAAGCTTCGTTCTATTCCGCTTCCACCAGGGCTGGGTCATGGCTCGCCTTGCTCCCTGTCACTGCTGTGCGGTCCAAGTTGCCCTCAATACTGCTAGGGTAATGGTCCTGAGTGCTGGTCACACTGAGGTAGGATAGTAGCTATAGGGGGTGCACTAGGAGTATTGACACGAGAAATGGAATGGGAGGTGGCCTCGTCTTCTCAGGACAGCCATGGCTGACTGCTCCCGGTAATCACTGTGGGCCTAGCAGCTGGCCTCTACAACACCCTGGAAAAAAAAAGAAATAAAAAAGGATGGCCCCTCTCCAAGGACGATACACACAAATCGAGAAAGTCTAAATTTAAAATAAGAGTCAAGGTCCATAGTGCACACGCATTGCCATCTTCTTTTTGTTCGAAGGGACGGGAGGGGGGAAGAGCGGGGGGGGGGCATAGCCCCCACATTGTTGTTGGATCCTGATTTCATCAGAATTAGAACTGATTATAATCTGTTTACTAACAGTTATATGTGTGTACCTTTCAGCCAAATTGGAGCTGGGTACGGACCTCGCCATTTTCATTTCCTGAGGAGATGATATCCAGTAATATACTGATTAGGCACAAATCCAAAATCCCCCCAAACCAATTCCATTAAATCCAATACATAAATCACTTGGTAGAGTATGAAAAAAGCAGTCCCACTACTGGGAGTTTCATTCAGTGCAGCAGAGTGGGGGGGGGGTGAAGGCAAGCACGTGGGGACCACAACAAGTTTCCAGTTTTTGGGACCATTTCCCAAGTGGGCATGGTAACATGGTTTCAGGCCACCTTCCTTATGTTTTTTTTTTCACCATTTTGGCATTTTCCCAAGTGGGCATACTTTTGGCGGGTATCCTGAAGGACTCTTGTCGTCATTTCTGCTGATCCTTCTTTTTTTTTTTTTCCTCCTTTTTCTTTTTCTTTTTCGGTTGAATCTGCCTAAGTTGATGAACCTGTGCCTCCCAAGGCTCACGGATGCGACTGCCCCTTCTCCAAGTGGTCTGCCGCTTTTGCTAGGGGCCCAGGCCCAAAGCAAAGTGCTTTTACCGCGAATACCGGTAAGAGCGTGTCCTAGGTTTGTGTGAACTGGCTGTTTAACAGCAATTGTCTAGTGACTGATGTATTCTTGGTCTTCATTTTTCGGGTCTTTTTTTTTTTTTGTCTAGTGACTGATGTATTCTTGGTCTTCGTGTTTCGGGTCTTTTTTTTTTTCCAACGGTGAAAGTGTATCCATGGGATGGTACATTGCGCTTGATGACAGTGTCAGTTTGCCAAACGTCATTGCAAACCTGCTCCCAAACGTCGTTGCATAATCAATAATAAATTAATAATTGTTCGCCATCGTTCTAAGCTTGTGCCATTTATAGGTCAGTATGACCTGGTATACTCTGGTTTGCTAAGTCAACTCTACAAATAGTTGTTTTCGTTCTTTTTTTTTTTTTTTTTTTTTTTT